CTTCCCCGGGCGCCGAGCGAGCCGCTGGCTCCCTTCCCCGCTGGTATCCGTCGGTATTTTCACGTCCACTCGCCTCTCCGTGCATTACACCCCCCTCCCCCCGGCGACCAGCAGATCTGATGTGCGTGGCTACGTCGTCGGGGGGAGCCGCTGGCTCCCTTCCCCGCTGGTATCCGTCGGTATTTTCACGTCCACTCGCCTCTCCGTGCATTACACCCCCCTCCCCCCGGGGACCAGCAGATCTGATGTGCGTGGCTTCGTATGTACCAAAATACTTAGAGAATAAAATAAGATTCCCTGCCGAAAGAAAGAGGCAGCAGTGGCTGGGTTTGCAGCGAGACAGTGTGTTTCACTGTGATAGTGTATTCAGGGGAGCGAATGTTCATTTGGAGAGATGAAAAAAAGATCAGTGTTTACTGTAAGGTTGTTAGGCTGGATGTAGTCTTGTTGAATTAGAATTAGATTTTAATAATTTATAAAGCAGGTTAGGGAAACTGTTACTAAATTTACAGCAGAGAAGTGTCAGTAAAGCTTCTTGCTGACACAATGATCCTGCAGTTTAAGTGATCTACTTTAGTCCCTCTCCATTATTATTTTTTTTTTTTGGGTAATTTAATTTTGAGAGAGCATGCAAACATTTCTGCAGAAATGGTTACACTTTAATGGTGCACATGATGGGGAGGTGAATCTTTTTGATCAGATGAAATAGGGCCAAGCAATTCAGGCTTTAAGAATATATTTTTGCTGATACTTCCAGAATTTGGTTTATGTAACAGGTAACTTTGTGTTTGCATGTTTTTTGGCGGACTGTTGAAATCCTAGAAGTGGGTTGCTAAAGTACAGGCCATTCTATTTCAGTTTATCTGAGTTTTTTATTTATTAATCTTGGCTGGGGCCTGAATGCCCTGGTGATGGTGGCATTTTTTTTTCTCTAGATGATAAACAAGACCAGTTTAAGGTATGGGTTCATGTTGCTGATAGTATATTATATTTGGAAAGCATAAGTTGATAGTGAAAGAATACCTCAGGAGAAATCAAAAAGAAGGAATAAGGTTTTTCCATTATTGTAATGCCAGCTGCACAGTTCAGCTTCTGGGTGCTGCACATGCTTCCTCGAAGAAGCTATGGAGTTTATACTTCCATTTTTGATAGATTTCGTGCACTTATATGTAATTTTGCATTAAGTAGTTCTTATCTTTTGGAACTTGTTTACACTGTTGCAATAAATCATACTTTATAAACCTTTTCCTACAAAAGACAAACCCAGATAATGTCTGTTTCAATGGATTTAATAATTTATGAAGCATATGAGTAACCAAATATTTTAATAAAATAAGTACTCGAAAGTGTTCTCTATATTGTGGAATCAACTTCTTTTAGCATACAAGTCACTTCACTAATTGAAGTCAACAGACATTGAGGATGAGTAATGCTTTCCAAGGACATGTTCTAAGACCCTGATCCTGCAAATGCTTATGCCGATGCTTAACTTTGCACAAGTGTGTAGCCTTACTGAAGTCAACAGAGCTGCTCTTGTTAATAATTGTGTTATTAATGTAAGATAGTTCTGTTGATTTCAGTAGAGGTGCACATGCTGGTGAAGTTAACTGTACCCGGAGCTGCTTGAAATATGTAGGCCTAAATTCCTCCTATCTCGTTTCCCTTAAGTATTACTCATGTATTTCACCAAGATGCGATGGGCCTTTTTAACAGGCAGGACAAGACTGCTAAGTACAATAGCTGGACGGATTAATTCACTGTTTAAATGTTTCCTCTTGGTATTTCTTAGTAGTATGGAATCAGCTACAGGAGTACAACCAAGACAAGTTTTATAGGAAGAAGCAATGCTTGTTTCTTATACCAGCTGATGGAGTTGGGAAACAAACAAACTTTTGCTTGCAGAAATCTTTTTTGGCTCTCTGCCTCTCCCTGCAAACCTTGTCTGGCTTATGCCCTTAGAACAGTTATGGCTACCACG